ATAAGCGATCTTACGATAAATAGGAAAGTGAGTAGGAAAAATAAGAAGACTTGGATATTGGCGCTTATTTCTGGGTACAATACGCCCTTAAGAACTGGCCGTGACTTTACTGACTTTCCTAAAACTGAAATTCTTACTCTCTTTGTCGCAATGAATTTTTACTGAGGCCACTTATTAGCTGAAAACCTTTTTTCAAAACCAAACTGTGTTCAGAATGTGTTTTACTTTGTATTGCATTAAGAAGAAAGATATCACCTTAAACAACATGAGGAAGTTTAAGAAAACCACGACAGCAGTGGCAACGGGAACGTCACTAAGCAAAAGTTTTAATGAGTAGAAAGATGGCTGCGCACGTGCGTTAGAAATATTTGTAAATTTCTTTGCGTATTCTGCAAAACAACAAGGTGAAATGATCAATTTTGCGTTTTCCAGAGAACGTGAACGACAATGGCAACTAATTGAAATATCTATTTCTAATTAAACGCTGTATTCCACATTCAGTTTGGAGATAGTTTTGACAGTGAAAAACAAACGAATTGACTTTAGAGTATCGCGAGATTCGAAGGTAAAAAATGATTCTATCTTTTAACCGACGTTGTTGACGGCGTCGCTATCGTCGTTTCTTAAACTCCCTATTATTATTTACCTTGAGACATGAGGAAAAGTCAGCAAAAAGATGACAAAGATTTTCATGTTCATGAAAACTCTCTTCATACACCAAGTATACATCTTTGGGATATGTTCGTCGACCCAGTGTTTTTTAATTGGAGGTTAAATTCCTACGCTCTTAACACTTTTTATGTGGTCATTTCATGATTATTTAAACGCTTCGGTCCATAGCAGGAGGTCTTCAGGGAATGACCTGAAAGCATTTAAAATTAATCCAATGTCAGCCACTAAAGTATTATTTACTTAGAAATATATAGACACACCCGTTTTCAAAATCGTTTCAATTTGAAAATATATTTTAAACAATATTTATTTATAGTAATTTTTTGTTTTCTTGTTAAAAAGTGTATCTTTTTGATGAAAAAATGAAAAGTTATTGTATATGGAAGTGATACATACATTTTCGAGTTTGCAACGGAATAACTTTGCATAAACATTTATTGAAATAAACTCTCGTCCAAAAACATCAACCCAGAGGCAATAAAGATATCGATTGACTTGAAGCGCTTAAATTTGGATCCTCTCAACAATCCAAGGGTGAAAAGACTTGTCTTTTAGTTTTAAATATCAACGATAATTATAGCCATTAAGATATCGATTACTTTCACAGTCATTGGGTTTCACATGTCCTTATCGCGTGTCATTTTATCGATCCAATGGTATTTTGAGGTTCATCGACAAAGGAAAAATAGTTACTTACATGAACATGTCCAAAAAAAAAAAAATCATTCCCAGGCGTCTTAGGTGATACCTAAATACACTTGGGATCAACTTAAAAAAAAACGTGGAATGCTGTAAATATCGATCTTTTGACCCCATGACGTTTACCTGCGGCTTTTGTATTTTTCTCGTTAGTTTCTATTCGGCCTTGAAGTCATTTCGTTTTGCAACATTCTTGATAGTTATTTGACCAGTTTGGCCAGTAACTACCACCATTTTACTGAAAAATTAAGACTCTTCAAGAAAATAAAGTGAATAAATGAAGGAACAAGTCAACAGACACTGAATGAAGGCGCGAGAACAAAAATAGTTCAATGCCCTCTTTGCTGTTCTACAGTTGTCGCGTTGTCACCTTTCTGGTGCGATTTACTTTCGTCAAGCAACATGGATGAAAATGCAGGTTACACGCTTGGTACTGTGTGAGTAAAGCAGTAGACCCTACTTTGAGATGTTCCTTGTGCCGTCCTTAAGGTCAATCTCTCTACGCTAAGCAACAGGTATGGCAGGTCTTAGCGAAAAATCAGTTTGGTGTGTTGCTTCACGAAAAATAAATCGCGGCTGTATTTGCACTAATTTTACTACGATTGGTGCTGAGAACCAAACCCTGTTTCCGGGCAATAAGCTTTTCACAAGCACGTCGCAACGACGTGCACCCTGTGACTCGAGGGATAGTTTCATACAGTTATAAGTTGTAATAGTTGCAACATTTTTTTAATGAAATGTCAGAGCCACTAGAATATCATATAGTGAGGAATGTACGTACAGTGTAACCTTTGCATAGCCATTTATTGAAATAAACTTTAAATAGAATTTACTCAGGAACAAAATATAAACCCTTGTGATACATTGAGGTTGACTAAGAACAAGCACTTAAAGTTTCTTTCTTTTAGCAATCCAAGCGTGAAAAGACTTGTCCTTTTAGTTTTAAATATCAACGATAATTATAGCCATTAAGATATCGATTACTTTCACAGTCATTGGGTTTCACGTGTCCTTATCGCGTGTCATTTTATCGATCCAATGGTATTTTGAAGTTTATCGACAAAGGGAAAACAGTTTCCAACATTAATATCTCCATCACAAAACAACTATTTCCAAGTTTCCTTGGTGATACCCAAATACAATTGGGATCGATTAAAAAAAAAAGGTGGGTGTTGCAAATATCGATCGTCTGACCCCATAATGTTTACCTGCGGCTTTTGTATTTTTTGCGTTAGTTTCTCTTCGCCTTTGAAATTATTTCGTTTTGCAATATTCTTGATAGTTATTTGACCAGTTTGGCTAGTAATTACTACCATTTTATTTAAAAAATTAAGACTTTTCAAGAAAATAAAGGAACTAGTCAATGGACGATGAATGAAGGCGCGAGAACACAAATATTTCAATGTCCTCTTTTACTGTTCTACAGTTGTCACGTTGTCACCTCTTTCTTGCGATTTACTTTTGTAAATCAGCATGGATGATAATGCAGGTTACACACTTGGTACTGTGTGAGTAGAGCAGTACACCGTATTTTGAGATGTTCCCTATGCCGTCCTTAAGGTCACTCTCTCTACGCTAAGCAACAGGTATGACAGGTCTTAGCGAAAAAACCGTTTGGTGTGTTGCTTCACGAAAAAAAATCGCTGCTGTATTTGCACCAATCTGACTACGATTTGTGCCGAGAACCAAACCCTGTTTCCGGGTAATAAGCTTTTCACAACACGTCGCAACGACTTGCACCCCGTGACTCGAGGGAAAGTGAAATACAGTTATAAGTTGTAATAGTTTCAATGTTCTTTTTTTATGAAATGTCAGCCACTGGAATATCATACAGCGAGGAATGTGTGTACAATGTAGCCTTTGACAAAAATATAAACCCTAGTGATCCACTGAGATATCGACTGACTAAGAACATGCACTTACATTTTCTTTCTCTTAGCAATCCAAGCGTGAAAATACTTGTCCTTTTAGTTTTAAATATCAACGATAATTATAGCCATTAAGATATCGATTACTTTCACAGTCATTGGGTTTCGCATGTCCTTATCGCATGTCATTTTATCGATCCAATGGTATTTTGAAGTTTATCGACAAAGGGAAAATAGTTACCAAAATAAATATCTTCACCACAAAACAATTATTCCCAGGCTTTCTTGGTGAGACCTACACACAATTTAGGATCGACCGTTTGACTGACCCCATAATGTTTACCTGCAGCTTTTGTAGTTTTTTCGCCAGTTTCTCTTCGCCTTTCGTTTTGCGATATTCTTGATAATTATTTGACTAGTTTGGCTGGTATCTACACACTTGGTACTGCGTGAGTAGAGCAGTATACCGTATTTTGAGATGTTATTTATGTCGTCCTGAAGGTCACTCTCTCTACACTAGGCAACAGGTATGAGCAAAAAACACGTGTTTTGCTTTACGAAAAAATCGCTGCTGTATTTGCACCAATCTGACAACAAAGCCGCGAAGCAAACCCTGTTTCCGAATACAAAGCTTTTCACAAGCACGTCGCAACGACTTGCACCCTGTCAAATAAGCTGAACATCAAAATTTTGTCAGGGTACTCTCAATTAACGATTACTAATTACATAATCATGCAATGCTTGAAATTTTCAGCTCTATTAATTGAGGCAATTTTTCCTCAATGGTTATCTTAGACCGCTTTGTGAGAGAGTCAGCGCTGTCTTTCCGTTCCACTCCTTTGCAAGGTTAGAGCAGTAGGAAAATATTTTTACTAATGCATGGCATAACATACAGATAGGATACTAATGAGTAAATGTATCACGCACTCGTGTATACACACGCAGCCATCTTGTCGATTCAAGAAATCTGATTGGTCGGCAGACTGGATAGTAAGTGGGAGGATATCTTCTCCGCTGTAAAATATGATTTACACTCAAAACTAATCAAGAGTGATCAGAAAAAGTTCAATTCTTCCCCTTTTCTGTAAATGTGGTATTACATCCCTCATAACAAAAGATAAAAACTTATAAATGCTAGGGTCTTTTTGGAGGATCAGATTTTCACAGGAATTACTCGTGATGAAAGATTTGATGTAAAAGTGGCTCTTAAGGTTAAAAGAGAACACTTTATAAGGACAAGGGGGTTAGAGGAAGGTTTCTCCCAGTTGCAAGTTTGTCCTCGACTTATTTTGCAGGTTCGTAATCGATCTGTTTTGACATTTATTATCATAAATCAGTATCTATCAACGGCACGGAAAATCATGCCTCGCGGTGCGGTGTTAGATTCAGATTTGCGCTTTGATTTCGACCGAAAAGGGAAAGCTGTTTTCTTTAAATTCAGGAAACGGGTAGAAAGATTTGGGTGCAAACTGGTAAAGGTTTGGGGAGAGACTTGGTTTACTTAAAAGAGTGAACTTGCAAAGGAGGCTGGGGTGAGCTTGCAATGGGGCGACACCTCCAGATACCGTCCGTTAGATGACGAAAACACATTATGTTTATGGCTTCAGATCTCGACCGATGTACACCAATGATGAGGGTCATTTCAAGCTGATTTGTGTAACGTTTGTTCATAAGACATCTCTTTCACACATTTATCGTCTAAATTATAATTTTAATGTTCCAGATAAATCCTGTGCAGTAATACAAGACGGTACATGTACCTCAGTATACATTTATTGGATAGGCTGTGACGACCTTTCCATGTGATTTCTCGACGGTCCTAAATTCTACAGTGCTCCTCCCTAACCCTGGGACTTGAATTTCACACTCACAGTCTGTTCTTCCCCCTCCTGCCACACGTCCCTTCAATACACAAGTAGTAAACATGGCCAAATCAAATGCTGGGCTGGTTCCGACGAACATGCTGCTGGTGCTGCCCTGTGGTACTTTGTCCGCCCCTCTCCATGTAAATTTTAGTTTACGCAGAAAATATGGCTGTAAACAAGAACGTCGGAGAGAAACTTAGTATCTACCTCATTGTATTTGAAATTCAGCAATGGGCTATCAAGGGCACACAAATGTTTATGGTGTCAATTAGGATCACAACAGTGCACACCCAACAGAGGTATGCAGCCGAACGCCACTCCTCGGTGAAATAATAATGAATAACAGACTTTTAATTGCAGAACGCGAACGGTATCTCGGGCTATAGGCTAAGATTACGTTACGGCATCTTGTTTAGCCAGCGCTCAGCTTAGGATTTATAAGGCTTGGCTGAGAGCCTGCTTAGCCCTGACTATTTCGAAACACTTTTCTATTAGAGCCTTATCGTTTAGCACGCACACTTGTAAAAACTTCTTTTTATCGAGAAGTATCAAAGTAACGTGACATAAACATTCAAGCAGAATAGTGTGGTTGACACTGCACGCTTGTACCCCACACCACCTTCCTTCAAAGCCGGTAGGAATGACTGAATCAATCAATCAATATTGTAGTTACGAACACAGATAGAGTACCAATCGAAACTAAATATAAAGTTTGCAGGTGGCTAGTGCTTCACAGCACTTTTGGTAGATATTTCCACTCTGAATGAAATGACTAACCAGTTTATTGCCCACGAAAGGTCGCGGATGGTTGAAGGCGATATTGGTCGTCTGAGTTGGGTTTCTGTCTTGTTCAAGCAAGAACTGGTACCAGTTGTGAAATCCAGAGAAAGTTTTCGCTTTGACGTTTAAATCGCCTGTTAAACAGAAACGTGAACACAGAATTTTGTGGTGATGACTGCGGGAATATTTTTTTTGCATTCATCGAAGAATGCACGAGCATGCCGGGTAGCTTAGTTCTCCCGGGGACTGTTTGAAAAGACCCTATTACCAAGGCCTTTCATGGCGGATAATCTAGACATAAACCTTGACAGACTCTCCGTTTGTTTATTTATTTTATTTTCCGTACTTACCAACGAATACATGTTTGAATCCATTGCTGTTTCGGAACCATAAATTTTTCAAAACATCTTCAAACTGTTTTAGGGTTGTCTAAAAGTGAAGTTCATAACGATAGAGGGGGTCAAAGAACGGCAATTTTACAGGGGATATGTGACACGAAAATAGATGGAATGTAATCTATGAAGTTAGAGGAGCGAACAGGGGACTAACCCTCAACAAAAAAACTTATTTGATCAATTGCTCCTTACGCTTTTGAATGCAAGGGACAGTGACTATGCAAAATGATGTCAAGTCATCGTCATCAACTTCTCATGAGCCCTCACGTTTAGTTACCTTAAATAGGGAACGGTCATTATTTAACCCCAGGGTGGTGGTGGGGGGGGGAAAATTTGGTTGTTTCACGATAAAATTTACCTGTTGTCCCCCCCTCCCCCCCGCTTTCTATGACTCCCCATCCCCTTGATGGCTAATGGCTAGTCAATTTTCTAAAGTCCCTCTTTATGGCGACAACTGATCTCCCCATAGTTCCCTTGGATACCATATGATCTCCACCCACCCCACCCCACCCCTCGTGGTCCCTTACCTCATTGTTTCATAAACGAATTCTCTGTTGTTCACTGGAAGGGCGTCAAGATCAGAAGTTCTAAAGTTCGACTCTTCTTGAAGGACTCACATGTTCAGGACACATGAATAACATATTTCTCGATTACAAGAACTGGTCTACACATACCACGCCTGTAGGCAATGATCCCGGCTGAGTTAATAAATAATTGAATGCCGCCTGCATAGGTCCGCCTGTTTTGGTTACCTCAGTTATGAAGTCATTTATATGTTGCTGAGTGGGAGGAGGATATGCAACTTGGTAATCGCCCATCAAGTCTGTTTAGAATTATAGAAAACATTTAACATTTTCCACCTGACCCAATCGCGTTTTTTCAAAACATCAAAATCTAGGGGATTTTTCCCTTTTTTTAGACTGAGACTTCTTTTTCTCTGAAAGCGCACGTGATCTCGATTTTAAGCTAAGAAGCAGGAAACGTAATAATTGCTGTAAATCTTTGTCATAATACTACACAAACCTGAGTTACCTTGATGAATTATAACATTCCCGGCGCAACTTTGCACTGCCAATCAATTTCCCGGTTATTTTAGCCTATAGACAAGATTTCTCTGTAAAGTTTTTTTTTTTTTAAGTCGTAATTTTATTTAAAAAAAGGGAAAAACGTTTGCAATTGATGCATTTTTGGCCCACCCAGTCCATCCTTGAGTTTTATTTCCGCTGTAGAAATAAATTACTTAGAATAGGTTGGTTATTGAGTAGAGCAATATTGTAGACCAACTATGTCTTCAGTAGATGCATAGATTTTGCGATCATTCTTTTACTTCCTCACATTAAGTAGATTACCACAACTGATTAAAGGCCCTGATGTGTACTGTATCGTTGATTTTTATGGAGAACCATTTGTGCCAAAAATATCAATCGCTAGTGATAAACTCAATCGTTAGTGCCAGGTATCAATCGCTAGTGATTAGTGCCAGTGTCGATTTTTTTATCGATTGTAACTTGAACCAGTCTCCGCTTGTTTAGCAGAGATAAACCGATCAAATCTTACTTACTTTCTTGAAATCTGATAAGGAACATTGAAATGACAATAAAGGCAAAGACAGACCGGCACGGACTACCCATGTGGCTTTTGTGGTCGCGTCGCATAATCGCCTTTAAATTATATCTTTGCTCTCCCTTTTTATAAGAGACAAATAGCGATTGATATTTTTGGCACAAATGGCTCCCCATAGATTTTCACCTGTCAGTGGTAAGTGGCTTTGAAACAAAAGATACCAAAGACACCTTAAATACCTTTGAATCGTTGAAATTCAGGAGACATGACTTTTCCAGTTCCCGCTGAAAGCACCTTAAACAACGGATTTGCGTTGTTCACCGCATCAACTTTTAATTCGTGAGGAACCACCAAGTTATTTCCTGCTTTGTCCCACATATTTTGGCAGGCGGGATGAATATCTAATCTGAAGTATAAAAGACAAATTCTTTGGATGAAGTGCCGAAAAATATTTTTCACCAACTTTCAGGAATAGAACTTCTAGAAATTGTTAAATCAGTTAAATTGAATATTGAACTCTAAGGCAACGCATATGATGAGTTCTTCTTGAGAGATGTTAGATTAAGTTACCCGTTGGCAAATGAGAAGATTAATAAGATACAGACGAAGACTCTCATTTCCTTGGCACTCCAGATACACGCGAGAAAGAACTGTTTTGCCTTCACTGACTCTTATGAAAATGAAATTCCTACTCTGCTGTTTGCAATGTTATAGTCTCGTCATTTTATTAATATTTAAATGATTTGGTGCCCTGTAAAATGGAAGGTCACTGAGAAATGACATAAAATAAACAGCCTTTAATAAGTTACCCTACAATTCAAATACATGTAGCTTTCACCCCTGGTAAAATAACCAACCATAGATATCGATTGTCTATAGACATAGGACCCTTCATCAACTATGCATTTCTCCCACAGACCGCAATGACCCCTTTGTTGGTTTGTTTGTCTTGAAGTAACTGCCAAAGCAGCTATAATATCGAGATGGAATACGCAGCCTTTCATTAGCCATGAACTAAAACGAGCACCACTGCATATTGATTAAATGGAAGGATATAACAACTTTGGCATGTTCAAAGTCACATTTTTCGCATATAAACACGTTTTAACGGAAAACAAAGTACGGATAATACGATCTACTTACCATCTAGGTATTTTATTTTAGTGTCATACTCTAGCTTGGGCAGGTATTCCTTATTTTTTTTGACAGTGTTACAGGGTAGTTGGTAGTCACCTACTAACTGTGATCGAAAAGTGAAATTTCCATGTTAAAAAAATGTCACATTTCTATGACCCATACAACAGTGCTAGGACTGGTAACACGATTATCGTTTATCTCACTCTTGTTAAGTCGAATGAAAACGAAAGAGGCGATCAGTGCGGCACAAATGTACATTCTTATGATTACTGCAGGGCTCAGCAGTCTCTGAATATTTTTGAACAGATTGTTTATCCCCCTTCATAACCTTTCAACTTTATTCATTAATATTCAAGTAAGTAGCTTTTGGCAAATTTTTATCTGATTTTCAAGATTTCGCTAGTGGGCAAAATTACGAAATTGATTCAAACTCTTTGGTTTAAGTAAAATAATCCATGTAAAAGTTGACCGTGAAGTCACGAGCATTAGTTTCTAAAATCGGACTCAAGTGAAAACGGACATACTTCGTAACAAATGGAAAGGTGATTAAGAAACAGAAGTAGACTTCGATATCGGCTCTTATTTCCTTGGCACACGAGATATACGCGAGTGAGAACTGTCCTTGCCTTCCCCGACTCTTATGAAAATGAAATTCTTTCTCTGCTGTTTGCGATGTTAGTCTCGTCATTTTATTAATATTTAAATGGTTTGGTGCGCTGTAAAATGAAAAGTCACCGAGAAATGACATAAAATAATAAGCCTTTAATAAGTTACCCTACAATTCAAATACATGTAGCTTTCACCCTTGGTAAAATAACCAACCATAGATATCGATTGACTATAAACATAGGTCCTTTTATCAACTATGCATTTCTCTCACAGACCGAAATGACCCCTTTGTTCGTTCGTTTGTCTTGAAGTAACTGCTAAAGCAGCTATGATATCGAGAGGGAATAAGCAGCCTTTCGTTAACCATGAACTAAAACGAGCACTACTACATATTGATTAAATGGAAGGATATGACAACTTTGGTATATTCAGTCACATTTTCCCACATAGACACGTTTTTAACGGAAAACGAAGTACGGATAATACGATTTACTTATCATCTGGGGGTTTTATTTTAGTTTCACACTCTAGCACTCTAGCTTGTGCAGGTATTCTATTATTTTTTTAACAGTGTTACAAGATAGTTGGTAGTCACCCACTGACTGTGACCGAAAAGCAAAGTTTCCATGTCAAAAAAAATGTCACATTACAGGACTGGTTGCATGGTGTAAATTGAAGTTCCTCGTTAATTACTTTTCGTTTATCTTACTCCTTTTAAGTCGAATGAAAACGAAAGAGGCGATCAGTGCGGCACAAATGTACATCCTTATGATTATTACAGGGCTCAGCAGTCTCTGAATATTTTTCAATAGACTGTTTATCCCCCTTCATAACCTTTCAACTTTATTCATTAATATTCGAGTAAGTAGCAGCAGTCTCTGAATATTTTTCAATAGACTGTTTATCCCCCTTCATAACCTTTCAACTGTATTCATTATTATTTAAGTAAGTAGCTTTTGGCTGAAGTTTGGTCAGATTTTCAAGATTTCGTTCGTTGGAAAAATTACGAAATTGATTCAAACTCTTTGGTTTAGGTCATAATCGTGTAAAAGTTGACTGTGAAGTCACGCGACAGGATCGCTCTTTCTAGTGTCAGAATTTTAGACACTAGCGTCTTAGTTAAAAGATAGGTAGCCTTTTTTTGAGACAATAATTACCGAATTTGGACCCTAGTCTCTGAAATCAGACACTAGGGTCTAAAATCGAACACTTGTGTAAATTCGAGTACTAGTTTCTTAATTCGGACTCAAGTGAAACGGACAATAGTGTATAAAATCAGACACTACTGTCTTAAATCGGACAGACACTTGCGTCTTAAATCAAACTTTAGAGTCTAAAATCAGACACTTGCGTCTTAAATCAAACTTTAGAGTCTAAAATCAGACACTAGCGTCTAAAATCAGATGCTATGACTAAAAACGGATCCAACTGTCTAAAATCGGACGTCTTTATTTAATTTCGGACTGTACTGCCCGATTTTTGACACTGTTGTCAGATTTTTTACACCAGTTACTGATTTTTCACGCTGCCGGTGTCCCAGTTTTGAATCTAAAGTCTTTTTGTAACCAAAAGGGGGATATTAAACACTAGAGTTTGATATATTAAAGTTGACACGGCAACCAGGTGGACAATCAGACAAACCGCCATCGTCACGATTTAAAGGAGCGTGGGCGGAGTTAATATGCCAAGCCTCCAAACAAAGGCGCTGGTGCTCTTTTAAACGTGTACTAAACTGACGTTTGGTCTGTCCGATGTATTCGTGGTCACAGTCATTGCATGGAATTGAATAAATGGCGTCGGTTCGTTGTTCTTTCGTGACAGGATCCTTAGGTTTGGCGAAAATATGCCCCAAAGTCTGAAAGGTTTTTGAGCAACTTTAACGTTGTGGCTATTCAAAATTCTCTTGATGGGTTCGGTAACAAACAGCAAAACCAGTCGCTGGTAACGCTCTTGATGAAAGGGAATCAGCGACTGGAGAGAGCATCAAAAAGCGGTTTTCTTTTTCAAAAAGAAAAATTCTGCTTTATCGGAGCACACATGTCTAACAAACCATACAATTGGGTGGGATAATTCTAAAATTATCACCACTAATCGGCGTTACCACCAGCGCCTTTGTTTGGAGGTTTGGCATATTAACTCCGCCCACGCTCCTTTAAATCGTGACGATGGCGGTTTGCTTCCTGACTCCTATTTACACTTCATCAGAAAAAAGACCGCTTATTAGTGATCATATAAAAGGACCTCTTGTTGCAGCGTTTAGATCACCCCTGATGAAGGCTCTAGACAGGAGAGTCGAAACGTTGGGTCTATGAATTGTAACTTCTTCGGTTACATTCATTAAATCTGCAAACCTGAGTAGCATCAAACCATGTCTGATTAGAGTTTGATGTTGAACACTATGTATCCCTTATAGTGGCAGAGTTTAGCCAACCACAACCATTTATTCAACTAGACAACACTAGACTTTTTATTTAAGAAAGGATGACACGTAACATTTTAGCTTTCATTGAACTTCACTTGGTGAAAATATCGTACTTGTTATGGTTCATTTTTTCCGAATATCACATATAAGTATTCAGAAAGATCGGTAATGACATATTTTCATCGTAGCCAACTCAAAGGATTGTTGAATTTCTCTTTATAAAATAGAGGAACTCACACAAATTTATTGACAGGGCTATTCTATGATTTAATTCTCCAGAAATTTGTTACACATTTTCCTAGTGCTAAATCTAAAATCTTAAGTGTTAAATTTTGTATCTACAGGTAAGAAAACACGACACTTCGTGATAACTATCTCAGCTAAAAGTATTGTAATATGAATATGAGATAAAAACTAAAAGTATTGTTAAATGATTATGAATATGAGATAAATCCTTTTGTTAAATCTTTTAAATTTCTTTGAGGTATTTCAAATACTAGCTCAAACTGGATTTATTTATGGACTATATAACATTAATTTACCTGAGACATTTTTAAAGCTACTAACTATATACGATTTTGTAGTTGACATTTTTCCGGGTGATGTAAACCAATCTTTGACAACAACCATCTCAAGCTTGATGTATAAAGGAAATTACACTTCACATACGTTCAGCTCAGGGCCAGTCACAGCCATCCACAAAGCATGATTTGCTTTGGTAATGCTCAATGAGAGAGCTCCACAAATCACAGACCTCTAGTAAGTTTTTGTTACCTGAGAAATACGAAAAAAATGAGAGAAATGTAAAAAAATCTTTGTGACCAGTGAACTACTTAAGTCCATATGTGATAGACAACTGTCACTGGGTTACAACTCGTCAAGTTGAAATGATACACAATCGCAAAATTTGTGGTATTATATTTTTATTTTTTCGTGTACAGATTTTTTTTTTTTTACTAGAGCCCAGTAAGGTCGGTTCAATCACGATGTTTAGATGCTTTTACACGACTCGCGAAAGGAACAAGAACAGGGAAAGGAGGGTAAAAGACAGGAAGTTCTAACAATCACATTACTTCTCCAAGGTCTATGGTTCGAAAATTTCACAAAGACTTCAATCAGCTGAACGTGTTCGTTAGTTTTAATCAGCAAAGCAAATCCGTTCCTTGCCACATCATATTGTCCACACATATTACGTAACCCAAGCTCCTTAAAAAGAAGATGTTTTTCTAATCCCACTCACCAATAATACACAGTCCTTGTTTCGCTCTAGTCAACGCAACATTCATCTGATGTTCGTCAGTGACAAAGCCCAAGTTCTCGCGTAGCCATCTCCCGGTGGGTTCGTAATCAATCTGGGAGTCTGGTAATGACCGGACAAGTGATATGATCACGAACTCATTTTCACTCCCTGAAAATAGAGCAAAGTAGATCGTTAGTTAACTTTCACTTATAATCATTATCTTCTTCGTTGTTGTAGTTTTCATCGTCATCATCATTATTATTGTTATTATCACTATCATCAACAATCTACACTAGCGATATATCAGGCAAGCCTTTCTGATTGGTTGACCAGCTACTTAGTGGCCTGTGTGGATTCCACGACAAAAGTCCTGGCTGATGGTTTCCTAAGTTTCTTGTGCACTGTTTTTCCTGGGCTCTGTTTGACTGTTTTTAATGCGCCTTGCACTCCGTTAATGGTGTATTCTATTTGATTGCTTTGTCACTCTTTTCGGTGTACTGATGGCCGATTTCTCGTTGTAGTTGATTTAATTCCCTTAGCAGCCATTCATGTACTCTTATCTATCACTTATTATCCCGGTTTACCTTGGCTTTTAACAATTGAAGTTACGTTCACTTTGGTTAAACCCTCGTGTATGAGATCTTGTCGAATAACATGGCACTGCGCGCGGTATGGGCTGAGAACAAGAACTTGATCTTCTCTGACTCTTGACTCGTCATTTTCTCTTAGTTTCACGCCAGTTTTAAGCAATTTCTTGACCACGGCGACCTAAAATGAAAACGTACACTCGTGTTCTCTACGTAAAATTCGACTCTTTTGCAATTTCCTTTTTTAAAACTGCTCATTCTTTTTCGACTGAGCCGAGAGAATTTTTATCTCTTTAGTTATCACTATATTTGTTTTCAAGTCATTTCTGACTTTTCAGATAATTGTCTTTATGAGGGAGCTTGTTAGGGACACACGATTTTGAGATGCATAAGGCAGCTGGAGTTTAAAAGTTCCTTTCCCTGGCGCGTATCTTGGATTATTATTCAAAAGCTTTAGGTTACAATAGTAAAAGAACGGCTGTATACAGTTAATTGGTTGGAGTGAAAGCGTGAAAGAAGTAGTTGGATTCTCTTTGAGATATTCTGCGTCTCAAAAAACGTCTGTGCTTACTTAGGAAACCATGAAATAATAGTTGGTAATGTAATACAAATTGATAGAGATAAGCATAAACTGAAAAAGGAAAGATGGTTGAGAAGATTAATACGGATTATAACTATACGACTGTAACTTTACGACGCCAGGCCATGAAGAAGTTCCTTTTATCATAGTCATCATCGTTATTAACATACCACTTTGTCTTTCTCCTTCATGTTACTCTTTGATCGTTCATTGCCTTCTTCAGTTGTCACTACAAGCTCCTCCTCCTCGC